TTTTTGTGAATTTGAAAAATGCTTATTGTTTAGTTTTCATAGAAAACGCTAAAGTGAGTTAGAAATCACAATTATTAAAACACAAACAAAAACACATTTTGTAAAAAAAAAAAGAAAAAAAAATTGACAGTTAAGGTGAGATATTTTGTAAAGGAAAATATTATAAAAGGAAATGAAAAAGAATATGTAGTATCTCTACCAAGAGATAAACTGTGGTGTTTCAATACAGAGGAAGGTATGCTCTTTGAAATTGGACTTCCATGATACGAAAAACCAAAATCATATGAGAAATTGAAAACTGATGGTGTTTTGAGTAACTAATTAATCATTATGGCTATATATAATTGAAACTGCTGTTTCCTATTAACAAACTTTTAACTCATTGTTTTAGTTTTCTTCGTGGATAAGTGCTTTAAAAAAAGGAAATACTTAGCTATTCAAAATTATAAAACAAAAGTGTACCCTAAAAGACATTGGTTATAAAGGAACTTTCATTCTTCATGTTTTCTCTCTTGTTCTACGTATCGTATTTACCAGGCATTACTGGTTAAAAATAAAACTTGCGTGCAATGTAACATTGAAACAATTACGGGTTCGTGACCGTCTGTTGTTGCGGTTGAATATGTTTCAGAACATGCTGATGAACCGAAGCTCTGCAAGTGTTTTGTGCTGTGAATATTTACGTGAAAATATGTTTAATATAAATGTATATGTGGAAAATATATTGGAAGGTTGAACATAGAAATTAATTTTTATAGCTGTTACGAATTTTTGTGTCATTATATTCTTACAAGTTATCAGCTATCAAAAAGTACTTCATAAACTTCATTAATAAAAACGTAAAACTATATGTATAGGGTCAACAACCTCTGTGCATTTTGTTTGATTCATGTTGTTTTATCACACTTGCTATCCTACTTGAAAATTACGATTTTGGTACATTTTGGTACATGTGTAGGATTCTTACATTACTGTGATGTATATCTCAGTGAAACATTTATTGCCAAATAAACGTGAAATTTCATACATTGGTCAAAATAAGTAGCCTTGATGTATTTTACAACGTAAGTAATAAATAATTTTATATTTGATCAAATACATGGTCTGTAATACAGTAGTTAATCATGACTACTGAAATTATTTTATTCTAATAATCTTAAAAATTAGAAATATGCTAGTCAAAGAGCATTCTAAACCGCAATTGATATCAATGATTAGCGTTGCCATTACTGGAGCCGGTCATATTGATTTGCGTGCACTGACTAGGAATCTAAGGATTCAATGTTCACGTCTCGTTGCCATAAAAAACCCACCTCTCATTTTGGAGTTGTTGATTTCCTGTAAGACTGATAGTCAAATCCCATTATTCGTCAAGATAATAGTCGGTGGTGAATGCTGTTAATTAGCTGCCTTCCCCCCTCTCTTTAGTACATTAGTTCAAAACTAAGGAAGGCTATAACAAGGTTGGCCTTTTGTGTAGCTTTGCGCGAAAAGTCTTAAACAAACAAACAAATATATCCACCACTGAACTGGTTAAAATTCACCTCCTAACATCACCAACACGCACTCGTATTTTCGAATTAGCCCAGAACAACACTCTGAATTGTAACAAGTTCACAAAGTGTATTCAATGAGAAACTAACCATGATTATTAAGAAATACTTCTTAGGTTAATTTGCCGTATTCGTACTTGAGTATTCTTGAGTCAAACCAATATGGATATTCACGATTTTAACGTTTTCTGGGATAACAAATTTAAATGTCATGAAATTTTCTAATAATGAATGTTTCTCGTTAAATGCTTCTATAATGTTCGATAAGCGAGTTTCATTGTAACCTTAATATTCTTTATTCTAGGAAATATTGAGACTTCACTAATATTTCATATTGATGTTTCGTGGATTGAAGTGTAAAACTAATATAAGCACCCTTTTTCGATGCACAATCTTACCTCCTAACATGAAACGTGACAGTACAGCCATCCTTTAATTATTTTTTATGTTAAGCACAAAACTACCCAATAGGCTATATGTACTGTGCCCTCTACGGGTATCGAAACCTGTGCCTATTTCATTTTGTTTTTTCTTTTAATGAAATGTGAACAGTGTGTTATGGATTAATCTACACAACTTTTAGAAAACGATAAAAAAATTATTTTAAGCACAAAGCTACACAATGGGCAATCTGTTCTCTGCCCACCACGGGTATCGAAATCCGGTTCCTAGCGTTGTAAATCCGCAGACATACCCCTATGCCACTGGAGGCGCACTAAACTACGATCTCCACTGCTATATTTGTATCGCTTTTCTTAACATTAAATTATGACAAATCTTAAAAGAATTGCGTTTATGAAACAAGCATAAGCCAGTTAAGTCAAAGCTTCAGAACGTTATTTAGAATGTATCTATGATTACAGTTGAATTGGCCAGTGAATTTATGCAAATATATTTAAAGTCGCAATTAATCGAGATCGTGAAATAGATATAATTATATAGACAAAAAAAATCACCGAATAGTGAGTGTGTTTTAGACGACGCCTTATTTTAAGCAGTATGGAATCTTCATTACTTTATTCAAAACGCTATATGATATTATCGGGTTAGAGAAGCTAATTTTGTGAATGTTGTTATTGTTTTTTATAGAGCTTGAAACATTAATTTATGAAATATTACTCAATTATTGAAAGAAAAATAAATATGAGCTGAGTGAACCCTTTTGAAATGATGTATTGAATATATTATCAAGGGCTGTTTACACACTGCCATCCCTAATTTTAAACTTAGAGGGTATAAGAAAGGCAGGTAATTAACATCATCTACTGTTTACTCTTGGGCTGCTATGTCTGACTGAGTAGTTGCATTTCATTCTTATGACGTACCAACGGTCCCATAATGCAGAGTGCGCTTTTGCAGCAACGGGTAGCGAATCAAGAATCATCACGTACACAGTCCTGGCATGCTAACCATTAACCACGCCATGTTCTCACCCACGTGTTTTAGAAGAATTAAACTCATCCTAATACCTCAATCATTTTTGTATTATATATGCATTCCAATAAAGTTTTCAAAATGATCTACGGAGCAGTAGAACAAAAACATGGACACTAGTAATTTGACCCAGGAGAATGTATATGTACATAGTAGTATTTATTCCTTTGTTTGTTGTTAGCACAAAGCTGCACAATGGTTTACCTGTGCTCTGCCCATCGCTGGTAACGGAACCATATTTTAGCGTTATAATTCCTCAGACTTACCGCTGAGCTACAGGAGTATTTTTGAAGACTTCATTTCCATAACATATTTTCATATAACTTTTCTACATAATAACTTATATCTCTGATAACTATAACAAAGTCTTTTATTATAAAGCGTAAATATTTAGAAATGTTAAGTGTTAAAGTATATTAAGAGTATAAAACACAAAACATGTTTGTTTTTTGGTGCAATGAAAGGTAAAATATTTATTTTAGTTACATTGTAGCTCAATGGGCTTGAAAAGAAATTACGTGCGCATTAATACCTGAAAAATGCAAACAATTAAGACATGTAACACTATTTAATATCATTAAGATTGTTCTATATATACATATATATGTGTGTGTGTGTATATGTATATATATATAAGTTTAGGACTAAAATAAATCTCTTTAGCTGACTGAAACTAGTAAGATATTATCGAGATTGCAAGAGTACCCTACTGATGAAATAATGCATTCGAATTATTATAGTTTTTTCATATTTGGAAAGCAGCTGATGGGATATAATATTTTCGAAAAAATATATAAATTTCAAATTACAATGAAAGATGAACAAATGACAATACCTTTAGAAGAAAACATTAAATTTTCTAATGACTCAGAGAAGGCAGTCCATGAAATGTTGCAAAATGTTTCAACAGCTTTAGAAGGTGTGGAATTTTAAATTATATAAAGATTATAAGAATTAAGTATTCAATTAAACGTATCTTAAATTTCTAGTGTGATTTATAACTTGAAACTTATTTTTTTCGTATATTTCATAGAACACGTTTGTAAAACAAAAACTTTGCACCATGTACTTCGAATGTTTGCACTTAAACCATAAACTTAAAGCATCTTTTAGAGCCTATATATATATATTATCTAATAGCAATTGATTGTTTTGTTATTGTGTACATAGAACGTTAGACCAGGATTAACGCTTTTTATTTCTGAAGCGAAACAGTTTATCCTAAACAAGTGACTATTATTTTTTAGCGAATTTAAACACTTCTGAGAATTTTACATCTTAATTCTACGTTTGAAATATTATATCCGGCTGTTTATTTTAACGTGACCTCATTTCCTTGAAATGAATTTCCAACAGAAATTATTTTAAGCACTAATTTAAATAACATCTATAAAAGAATGATCCAATAAATTCACATGTTTTAGCAACTTTTCACGGTGATTGGTGATAGTTGATATGATAAAAACATAATAACATTCGAGACATTAAGACGAACGATATCTATAGAACATTTTATGCGTCGTTTCATTTTTTGTAAGAAAATATTCTTCATTTTAAGTCAGTGAAATAACTAAAACACATAACAGCAAATCTAATTATGAATATTAAAAGAGAAATAATTTTTTCATTTATCAATCTGAATATGTAGTGACCTGTAAATAATTTCAATATTCTTTCAGAAACGCTGTGTTGAAGAAAGAGTTTTTTAACTTTCATATATTATACATTTTTTCTTACATAACATATGTGAGTACCGAACCCTATTTTATGAGTCTTGTTCACTTGATAACAAACAAAAGGCTTACTTTCTGTTTTAACATATATTTTCTTGGAGTTTTATGACTAATATTATTTCTTAATTTTTGACTGCTCTATGACAGACAAAATATGTATTTACCGTATCTTGATCACCTGGAATATGAGAAACAGTAAAACAACGTTATTACATTTATATGCCGTGTCCTTAAGTATACAATCAAGCACCGATACTTTATTTATTCGATGTTATCTTACCGTTTGGAAGACAAAAGAAGATGAAAATTAGAAGCCAGCAATAGAGAGTTCGCCGACTTGAAGATAATCTTATTTCATCCATTGCTACAATATGTGTTAGGAAACCGAGAATCAGATGTACAACCACTGTTCGTTAACCCTGACAAACTTTGCTGTGGAAACTAAGTTGATTTAAGAACACATGTTGACCGTCTATAGCCGCGCTATATCCGAACATTTCGTACAGCGGAAACGACCTGACCTGATGCGTTAGACATTGAGTATTGTGGACGACAAACTGTTACTTTCTAGAGCAACCAAAAGTTTGCGGCATTGTTCTTTTCCATAGTCAGATGAATTTGACATCCTAAGTGAATACCTGATAGGAATTGTTAGCCATTTTAATCAGTTATTTAGATTGTTGACTGATTTTGATCATCTGTATTATTCAGATCTGTTTCCAAATTCATTATTTTCTTCTACCGTTTCTGAGACGTCCGTCCATGCGTGGACTCCGGCTGTTACAATTCTGCTTAGCGTGTTGCAATCACGCATGCTCAGAGATTGCTCGAGAGTAAGGATCATAGTAGGTAACGCGAGCTAAAGGGATTGCGGTGGTTCGTATGTGGCGAGAAAGGGCGAGAACCTCTATTTGATTAAATTGTGTTTATTTTGAGGACTATGTGTTGCAAATAATTACATATAAAGTTAATGATACGAAGAAAATATAAATAAAACTTGTGAATTTAGCATTCCTAACAACTATCTCAAAAATTTCAAGTAGTCAATGGCAAATCAAATATATTCACCAAGTATGAAAAATATGGTTCGATAACCATTATTCAATAACGAACACTCACTCGTATCGCATAACTATATACCCAATTAACAGTTTCATAAAGAAATATGTGATAAAATAAAAGATAGACATTAATCTGGCTTATATCAACTACATTATTATGGGAGAAGTGATGACAGAGGGAGTAACAAATAGATCACCTAGAAACTTTCTCAGAATAAAATAAAAAGATAAACTCAAAAAATTTGTAAGTAGTATGTAGAGAACGAAATGTTGGGACTGATTTCCCTGCAACGAGACATTGTTTGTTTGTTTGAAATTAAGCACAAAGCTACACAATGGGCTATCTGTGCGCTGCCCACCAAGGGTATCGAAACCCTGTTTCTAGCGGTGTGAGTCTGCAGACATACCGCTGAGCCACTGGGGAGAACTAGACATTATACAAAATACTTATCACCATCTGGTCTTGGCCACTCGTAGATCATCTGATATCTTATATACGTTTGCAGTTTCTCAGGTATAATAGATGAGTTCATTGAAAGATTCCTGAATAGGATGTACATGAACAATATTTTTAATAGAATTAAGTTTTCCAATTGTATAAAATGATCTGTGTTATATTGATCTTGTAAAAAGGAAATACTAAGTTTTTATATGTCTACAAATTAACAAAAAAAAAACTTAAAGAAAAACAATATAATTTGTTAGTTAAACAAAGTATGACCAAATCACAAAACTCACAAATAGAATATCACACTAAGTTTTTTGTAAGTCTACAAATTAGCAAAAGAAAAACTAAAAAAAAAAACAACAACAAAAAACAATATATATTGTTGGTTAACCAAAATATGACCAAATCACAAAACACAAACAGAATACACCAAAAAAAAAATGTCGAAGAAAATTATCTAATAAGGTCTGAAAACATTAGACACGAATGCAAATGCAAAATTCTATACATCATTAGTTACTAGCATGTTCGACGTGTCCTATTATATTAAGGCACGGCTTCAGTGTTTTAGTACGTGTTATCCAAAACGAAAACTACCATTTCTTCTTTAAATGTAACATTTGTTAATTTCTGAATTGGCGATTACTTCAGTTTTGTTTATTTTTGCCAGATAGTTATGTATATGTTACTTTTGGAGATCGTATAGATTTTTAATGGGGTGGAATACTATCATGAGTTGCTCAAATATTAGGAACGGAACAAACAACAACAACAAAAAAAAACAGATGAGAGCTTTATTTGACGTTCTACAGGTCTCACTAGGAAGATCACAAACACACTTTCAGGCAGTTCTTATCTACACAAGACGGCATGGACCACTAGTGTCCTTGAAGGTCTTAAACGTCATGAAACGAATGCTTTTTACATAGCACAGTAGCTAGCGTTTCTTTTAGGCCACTGCCAATGGACTCAATATAGACATAAGAACAACAACAATAATAAAGTGATTATCAGTGATCAAATAATAATGACCAAACATCACGTGCCTGATTTAAAATAATAAAACTGCTTCAGCACTATATTTGAGTACACAGCTCACGTAGGCTTATCGAGATAAGCAGAATTGATAGTAACGCCATTGGAAGCTTGTACTATTCACAAATTGATCAGTTTCTTGTGTCTACCGATACTTGACGGATTCGTACCTGGAAACCAACACGTGACTTGCATTCTTGGTCTGATATCGTTGAATATAATAATTTAGAGGGTGGTTTGTTTTAGCGCAAAGCTACACAATCGGCTACCTGAGCATTTAAGATGCATATGACGTGTTATTGAACCCAGCTATATAACATTTTACGTATGCAATCGCAACAGACTTTGTCCTGATGTAGGATAGCGTCCAGCGTTGAATGTCTGGATTATGATTTACTACATAAGCATGGAATGGCCAGTAAGTAATCCTGATCTAATTATTACAGAATATATTTGGGACCTTCTTAAATGCCTTATCTCGTCACGCTAAGCAAAAAGGGACGACAAATAGCACAGAATTTTGTCGTTCTGACCGATCCGGGGTATGTCCTGTGGGTGCATAGAATATCTCAAAGCCAAAAAATGTCCATATCCCTTTCTAGGAGCATTTTTTTCGGCAAAATGTGATTCTTAGAGGGAGATAGGATACAGTTAGATTCTAGCTTTCACAAACTGTGATTATTAAAGGCAGGTAGGGTATGGTTAGATTCAATCTCTGACAAACTGTGATTCTTACAGACAGGTAGGGTATAGTTAGATTCTATCTCTCACCACTTTCAGCTCTAAAGTGTTCACGCACACATATACAAAGCATATATTTAGAAGTATGTTCGCGAAGAGTCAAATTTTATTAGATTTTAATTGAAATCTGCAAGTTTTTTTGTATTATCTTTTTGTGTATTGAATATATTTCTGTTGTTTTGTACAGAATATAATTACATAAACTATATATATAACCGAATATTTTCTGATTTTGAGCTAGCACGTACATAATGTGTTGTGAGTTTTTCCTTTTTTCTTCTATGGTAATGTTAACATGTGTGGTTGGGTAGAGTTGGCAAAACGTCAGTGACTATAAAGGAATATGTTCCTGTGGAGTCTGCTTCTTCAAGATACCGAGTTCATTCTGATATCTTTCTTTCGTATGAATAAATTCTGGCTTTTTCGATTTGTATGACATATATATACATACACATCAACAACTTAGCTGTGAATGTTAATGGTATGGTAGCAGTTTTTGTTACTGCTGTGTTGTAGGTTAATGGTACTGATTCTAATTTTATAAAAACTTTATGGCCAACTTGATGAGTTATGTAAATCATATTAACTCAGATTAAGTAATATACCTCATATAAATTTGATACTACTTTTTCAAAGTAAGTATACATTGTATACATAAGATGTTTATATGGTTTTAGATATGAAATATTAGTTTATATACATACGATGTTTATATAGTTTTACATGTGAAATGTTTATGTGTATACTTAAGATCTTTATTTGATTTTATATGTGACATTACTTTTATGGTATTTGTTAGATATATTTATTCCTACTTAAGCTAGAATAATTACGTTCATTAAAAACATATTTCTGTTTATGCATTGCAGTTATTCTTCATATTATCACTAAATTTATATTTGTTGGAAATCTTTGGGTTTTGGAAATGTTGAAAGTAATGCTATTAGCTAAAATAAGCTCCACAATTTATTATCTATTTGATGTTTAGATGTAAAATGTATACTGGAGCATAATGTAAGAAAGTAAAAGAAGAAAAACATGAAAACTTGTCTATCAAAACTAAGTTACAATAAGTATTAAATTAGCGATCATAACTTTAACCTTCATCGAATTATGCTTCATGAACACTTTGTGTGAAGCTATATATTTATACATATAACCTGTAATTCAAGGTGAATATGTACAAGAAAACTGTTCTTTATTTATCAAATTCAGCTTTCTTTCGTAGCATCACTGGATACTCTTCAGTATTAAAACTAGAAAAACCTAAACACTTATTTTGAAAAATAATAAATTTAAGTTTAAAACTGATATAGAATATTGAAATTTTGTTTTTTAAATAAAATCTTTTAAATTTTAAAAATACTGAATATTTTAAAAAAAAACTCAAGTTACAGAATAAGTTATCCTATTACTAACGTTTCAAATCAAAATTTAATCAACAAGTATTTAAATTAACATTAACATTAAAATATATTCAACGTCAACGATAAAATTACTATAATAAAACTACCCAGATCCTGCAGCTAAAAGATATTTTGAAAATACCTTACTTTGGTGAATAATCTTAAAGTTTTTTTGGAAGTTATCCACGGTATACTTTCCAGTTTTCAAGTATGCTGATGATAATGACTAAACATTGCTTCTGTAATTTTGCTTATATCATTTAAATATTATCAAAACACTTTAGAATTATAAGTATTCTGTCTCAAGACATCTATTTTAATTGTTTGTCCTATTTATGCTCCACATAGTTTCAACCTTGAAGAAATTCTTTGATACCTCGACATAAATAAACGATTATTCACAGATCTGTAATTTTCTTTGTATCACCCAAACGAAATGTGAGGCTCTGTTTATTCTTGGATTCGCCACATGTTTTTGGTTTAGTCCAGTTTCGGGATCTTAAGTATACATTACAACGCCCCAACAGTTGAAAGGTCGAGCATGTTCGGTAATGGGATTCGTACTCATGATCCACAGATTGCGAGTCGAGTTTAATAATTACCAAACAATGTCAGCTTCTTTTACCAGTAACCCCGAATAAGAACAAACCAAAGATAAAGCATGACTTATACGAGTAGGAATTTCTTGCGGTTTTTAAAGGCATTTCAAACACCATAGCACATATATCAAATAATTATTTTTCTGTTTAAAATAAATACATACAATCATCGAAGTGCTGTTAAACATGTTAAAATGGCAACAGTATCCTAAAATATCAAGTTTGAAAGAGCGTTTAAAACAAAATGATATCCAAACACGCTTTTATATAGATACAATTTTTTACTATAAAATCTCTTTTAAAAGATAGTATGTTTTTTTTTATGAAAAGTATTAATTTAAGGGATCAGTTAAGCATTTGTATGCTCTACTTATAGTGCTGACTGAAATTATAAGTTAGTATGA